AAAAAGCGCGTCAAACGAACGTTGCACGCCTTTTTTTGTTTTCGGTTCGTGGCGCGTGCTTTTCGGGTGGGAGGAAAGGGGTCCGGTTGACGATTGTATAGAGGATTATAGACTACGAGGTGTTTCAAGCAATTATATATATATATATATAGAGAGGCGTTTGTGCATGATTGGTGTTGCCTACTTCGGTAACACAAAAACACATGACTTCTCTTGTGGATCCGCAATATAGACCTGGGCGAGTGCGGCGCCCTGGCGAGTTGGTTGTGGCGCAAGGACGCACAAGGGGCGCCCGGCGCATGTTGGCTGGCTTTTCGGACACGGAGTCGTGGGGCGCATACAGCTCAATCGGGTGGTTGAGACAGGGTCAATTGATGGGCAAACAGCAAGAATCGCTCGTGTTCACTGATTTCTCTCCGAGGCCTTGGCCTTTGTGGCTCCTGCTGGGCAGGGGCCTGTGAACAGCCAGGTGGCGTGCGGCTTCTGCCAGGAAATCAATTAGTCAAACTACACACAGAAGGCGTGTGCCCCATTAGTGGAAACAATGCACGGCCCAAGGTAATTGCATCATCAACTGCAGCATGGTAATGGGATACACGATACACCCAATTTTTGGAGCACCTCAAATGGTACCTCTGAGGGACTGCCAGTATTGGTTGGTTTTGTAGTGTAAAATCCTTATAATAGTATAAAACAATGGTTGTTTGGCAAAGACCATTAAAACACTGTGGTTGTTGGGAGCTCCAGAGGTGGCTAGTCCTTGCTCATCCAACAGGGTGGGCTGGACGAATCTCCCCGGTACCCGCGCGGCGAACCCGGCGTCCCGATGGACGCTGAAGCCGCAGAACAGGTTACCACCTGAGGCGGCCTGAACCCGCATCCGGCCTCAAGCCGGACTGAGCTTGCCCAAGCTAATGATGTCACTTTAGCAGCCTGCCCAAGCCCTGGACTTGCCCAAGCTAAAGCGCCCTTGGGTGACAAGACCTGAGCTGAAAGGAGCACCCTTTCAGCCACCGAAAGTGAATCCAGCCGTTGAACTACTACCATCTACTCCTAGCTCCTGGCATTGCTACTAGTCGCAAGAAGCTGCCCAAAAGCACCGAAAGCACCAGCCTTTCACTGAGTCTTGCAGCCTTCCTGCCTTCTCCAGGCACCTGTGGATCGCCTGAGCTCTCCTCTGCCTCAGGCTGAAGAGGCCAGATGAGTCATGAGTCAAAGGAGGCCAATTTGATCAATGGACCGGGCAAATTCGGTGTGTTTTGCTTGAGCAAAGTGGTCGTTTTGGACACTGCATGTAGTCATTTCGGCTTCTATCAGCACGAATCCACAGTCCTAACTGGGATCTATTTCAACCAATCCCTTCCTGGGTGGCTTCAGATGTGTTTATTTTCATTACTTGGGATGATTTTCATCCCACTGACCAATATTTTTAAGTTGAAACCACCAACCAGCTTCAATTTGAGCCCCACAAAGCACCGATTCCCAAGCCCAGCGCCGCCCAGCTGCCCAGGCCACTTCAGGGTCCGGGCCCTCAGTGGTCGGAAGTAAGCTGCGGCGCCAGTGGTCCGGGCGGCGCCTCATTACTCGTTCATTACTGCGGGTACGTGGTTTCAGGTTTTTTGGGGGTTTGGACACGGTTTTGGAGACGGGTGAGTTTGCAAAGCACGGCAGTTTGGAACGGTTCAAGGGCTTGGCATCTTGGGGTGATGAAGACTGGCCACTTCATGCATTCTGGACGAGGCTTTGCAGGACTTGATGTCTCCCGCCCGATTGGAGGACTCATCGGGACTCCGTTTGTAAAGTGCTTCGTGGGAGTAGGTGGCACAGACCTGTGTTGTTTCACTGACCTGGATGGAAGTCTGTTGAAGTCACCTGCTGGACATTGTGCCATGTACTCTGAAACGACTTGGCAAAGCTGACTGTAGAAAGAAGCAGATACCAGAAGACTGATTGTTGTCTCGCTGTGAAAATCTATGGCTCAGAACAGGTCTATAGAGTCTATACAGAGAACTCTGAGTATTCTTCAGAGTGTTCCAACGGGTGCGGTGTGCGGTACTTGCTTGTTGACATGTCTGTCTCATGAAGCTGAAGCAGCTAAAGGATTTCCGTGGAGTTTGCCTCCCAACCTCCCAGCTGGGTGTTCCTCCTCCCCGGACGCCACCCAAAACGCGGACGACGCGGTCTGGGCCAGGTGGGTTTCCCTCATGGCGGGTGCCAGCATGGGCTACGCCGCTGCCGCTGTGGCCGCAGCTTCCAAGGAGCTGAATGGACAGATGTGGAGATGGACAGATGTGGAGGATTAGCATGGTTTAAGCAACTTCTGAGAGAGTGTGGTTGTTTTTTTCAAGCTGAGCTGAAGTTGGTCGTTTCATCACCTCTGAAGTTGAACGAGATTTAACATGATTTAACCAATCCCTGGGACTCAGGAAGCAGCTTCGTCAGGATTTGTCCAGAAGGAATCCTAAGGTGTGTATAGTGTTCCGGGTCACCATTGTTTAAGTAAGTACCAGTCTGGAGATGAAGAAGGTTATGACTTTTGTGCCTTCGCAGCTTGTTGATCATGTAGAAAGGGAATGGGACGCAGAGGGACAAGTTGCAGGTCACGCTCCCCGAATCAAAATCGACATTGTTTTGGAGGTTGTTGGCAGAGGTTTGGCAGCATGCTGTCGACCACTCCCTTCGCTGAACTGATGTCTGCAACTCTTGGATAGGCTCTAATTTAACAAACAACATTGAGCTGAAAGCTAAACATTGTGGAATTGGGTGGAAATCAACCTGAATTCATCGCCCCAACGACATCGGGACATGGCTAACATGCGATGACGCAGGGTCTTGGGATTTGGAAGTAGAACAGGATCACCATCCATTTGGTGGGTCCCATTATCTTTATATAACTTTCACAGTCCATAAATATAAACAAAATTGACATAAAAGGCGTGCAACCAAACCCAATCATCCACTCTACCCAGGGTGTCTGGGATATCCCCAAACCCTCCACTCCCACTCGATGCGCAGCCGCAGCCGCTCGCGCCGGCTCGTCCATCGCGCAGGGCCGCATCGCCATGAAGGCCGAGAAAGCCGCAGTGGCCAGGAGAAGCGGCCCGTTTTGGGGTGCAAGTCGCTGAAGCGGAGGTGGACCATGGCCGGGGCCAAGATCGGCCGGAAACGACAAACAGCACTGGGAAACCAGGAAGACACAGCGTTTGTGAGTTGGAAGAAGTAGTTGATGATGGATTGAGAGGACCTATGGCACAGTCCCCAAGTTTGGGGGGTTTATGGGCTCCCATCTACATCTGGGTGTGTGCCAGAAGAGTACGGCTTCCTCGAACTCAGGAAATTCACAAATGCCTTTACTTGTTCATTGGGGATGATCCAAATACAACGCATTCTCAATTCTTCTGTGACTGTGTGGAGTATAGGCGGGGTATATAATCCCCAAAAGACCTTCGATCAAATGAAAGTATCGACACTGGACAGTGGTGTGATCTTCCCATTCCCTGCACACCCACCATGCTCCAAAACACCGATGAAGGAAGACTCCTCATGGATTTCCCGTGGGTTGTTGCGCTTGCTGCGAGGACGCCCGTGGCCTACCCCATCTTCACCTTCCGCTGGCTGGCCGTCCACGCTTTGGTAGCACCTCGACAAGAAGGGCCACATGTGTGTTGTTCCGCGGCGTTGACGGCATGGCATGTGAGTAGGATTGGGTGCTAAGATGGTATAAGCAACGTACGTCACGTGTGTCACACGGAACCGGTGGATGAAGGGCGGCCGGGTCGCACCCACCAAAGAAAGCTGAAACCGAATCCGTGCGATCCGCGTCGGGGGGTCGGGTGATTTCAGACCGAATCGGTACGAAACCTGATCGAAGCGAAGCGAAGGCGTAGGCGAAGCGAAGCTGGGTCGGCTCTGAACAGCGAAGGCGAAGGTGTTGGTTCGTTTCTTTTGTTTGGTGCCGAGGGTCTACAAGGATGTATATGCATTGGGAGATGACTTCAGCCACCATCCCACAGCTGCACCGGACTGGTGACTGGTAGAGCTCAGATGGCGAAGTTGGGTCCGGGCCAGGCTTCTTAGGATGGTCTTCCCAGCGATGACCGAGGAAGATGTCCATGTCAACCTGTGTTCTGCTGTTCGGAGTGAGAGGTGAACTCTTGCTGATGTCTTGAATGAAGTCTATCAAGAGCCATTGGGAGTGATCTCTTGATGATGGTAGCCAGGAAACGGGGGTAGGATACAACTCACCATGGCCAAGTGGGCAGAGCCTCTTTTAGGGCTACAGGTCTATAGATGATATTATATAGTATGTTATAAAAATTAGTTAGACCAAGCAATGAACCTGTGAAGCGACATCAGGAATTCCAAAAACCGAACGGATTTCTATGGTCTTCTTTTGAAGCAACAACAATCGAGCCGAGCCCGTGCCGCCGTGCCGCGGTGTTTTTCCGACCAAGATCCCCACCGTCTTCTTCCTTGGCGCGATCAGCTCCATGCAGTTCATCCAGCGCTGAGTGGGAGAGGAAAGCGACTCATTCGCCGGTTGGGGCGGAATTTTTGGTCGCAAAAGAGGTGTCTTCCGGCGGCTGCACGTATTCATGAGAGGATAGCTGGGTGAAAGAGAAGCTGATGATGTGTTACCCCAAAAGCTGTTTTTGTTCTTTGTATAGTGTCCAAAAGTGCACCTTCTTTCTTTAGAGACCCTATGAAGACCTGATCTTCCAGCTAAGCAATCAACTTGCCGGAACAGTCACACGGTCACCGAGCTATCACTGGTGGATTGGAGAAACCCGAGCTATCACGGCTGTAGGGACCGACATCAGCGGGGGGAAGGTTTCTGTGCTTCAGGGTCTTTTTCGTGCGGATCCAAGTGGACCATCCCGCTCCCGTGGTCGTTTCTTGAAATGAATCCCCCAAGCATTTCAAACAACACCCAAGGGACCTCAATAGAACCTCCCAACCCACACGACCCAATCGAAGTCCCGAACATCCGACGTACGCACAGCTCGCTTGGCTCTCGCGAAGCACCGCCGTCCGTCGAGAACGCCGGTTTTTTTGAGCCATGGCCATGCGCGTCCGGCAGCCCGTTGTGGAGCTCATGCTCAGGGAGGGACATGGTTCAACTGGGTCCCAGGACGGCGTCCAGAATTGGGCACCAGGTGGTTGGAAAGACCGGAAGAAAGGAGACAGATACCTGAGTAACCTAGCTGCTAGCTTGCGCCTCCAGGTGTTCCTTTGTTGGTGTGTTGGCCTCTTTAGACACGTATTTGTCCTGTCAACGACGCTTTCACTCGGTCGACATGCGTTGACTTCTCCAGCCTGCACGAACTATGGCGCAGATCGAATGAGAACATACCACTGAGCGTGCAGGAGCACCACTGAAGAACACCCCCTCAGAGGTTGCAGAACCTTCAGAAGAGCCTGGGCACCTTGGATCATAATGGATCTCAGATCTCGGTAGTTTTCCAAAGGTCTCGCTTTTGTTGATTCTTCTGCAACCTTTGACCCAGGGCAAATGTGTCAAGCCAACGGACCGTAGATGCTCCAACTTTGCCATTCGAGGTTGTGACCACATGTGGAGCTGCCTTTCGAAACTCGATCTTCGCCGGTTGATCTTCGCCCCGTGTTCGAACCCCACAGCTTGGCTCCTTCGACGCCGAGGCGCTCTTCTTCTTGGCCTCCGCTGCCACCGTGGTGCACTCGGAAAACGCGGGACACGGCGCGCGTGAGCGCCTTGCGTCAAGCGCGCGGATCCGCCGCGGATCGCGGACGGACAAGGACCTTGGGATAAACCACCTAGTTAACCTAGTAGCAATGGCCTCCAACCTAATAGCGATGGCCTTCAACCTAATGGCGAAGGAAAGGTGAGATCGTGGAGCTATGAAGCACCTGTCGCTGAAGGCCAAAAATCATGACCTTCTCACATACCCAAGAAGAACATGCGCCCTTGCCGTTCAAATAGCTTAAAATCGCTTGGACAGCGAACAAGCTCAGGATCCAAAATGCAAACGTGTCCCTGAACAACTTTCCATCACCGCCCTTAGGTTGAAGGCCATCAGCCTCATCTCAGACCACCCAGCTTCAGAGTATAGACTTCAGGAAAACCCACTGACAGACTTGACTGCACTGCTCTAGCTGTGACAACGTGACTTTCTCGGATATGGTCGGGGCACGTCCAAGTTGCAGGGCAAGGTGGAGTTGGCCTGTCCCAAGCGAGAGGCGGCGCACTTCAGGGCGAGGCTGTTGAGCTGTGAGTCGGTCACGCGCCTCTGTGCCGGGTAGAGCTTCGGATGGCCAGGGCTCCGGCGCTGGGCCGGAAGCAGCGGAGGAGCTCTGGCATTGTTGCCCGCTTGTGCGGCGAGCTCCTCACAAGGATTCTCGCGAGCACTGGCCGACCGCGCATCTTCGTGTCCACGGTGGTCCGGCGCACGAAAATCGACTGTGCCGAACAGGGCCTCTTGAGTGTGGCGCTGTGTGCCACTCAATGCTCAGGTCTTGTATGGAGGGTGACGCTGCGATGCTGACAGACTCCGAAGGTTGAGCCACACGTCTAAGAATCTAAGAAGGCCCAGGACGGCAACAGAGGTTGGTGTCGGTGTTCAGAATCACCGGGCGGCTCTCGCCTGCGGCGTGCCGCACACGGTTCGGCGAGCACACGGACAGTTGGTACAGGAAGAGTTGCAAAGGTGACGCTGTGAGATGGCTGGTGGATGCACCGAACTGTCCGGGAGGTGACTTGCAATACAATATGTCCAACTTACATGCACAATTTTGTCATCCCAAGCCCTCAGAGAACTTGTAAGTCAAGTTACAAAACTTACAATCTGAGCATATTGAAATTGTTTTTTCTAAACTGTATAAGTTTTTTGTAAGTTACTTATAAGTGTTGTAAGTAAAAAAGCACATTCAAAATGTTAGGTTTTTTGTTTTGCAGTTTGTGGTTCTTTTTTAAAACTGCTTTACGTTTGATGTTTTTTGTGTGTTTGTGTGTCACTGCACTGGTATCTTTAGCTGAAGAACACACTTCTATACACGTGAGCGGCTCATGGAGCCGCCAAAATCTTCCATTGACAAAGTCAGCCAGGATCACGAAGCCACATGGCGGCCGCTTCACTTTCTTCGATGTAAATGACCAAGGAGGAGGGACAACAGTTTCTAGATGCGCAACCTGATCTGAAAATTGCTAGATGCAAATACTTTGGCAGTAGAAAATATATCAAGACCTTGGAGAAATGTACCAAGGCATTTTGGGTTGTCTGTGATTTTGGAAACAATTGCGCGCGGATTTATACATGATTTATACATAGTTTATACATAATGTTTAAACTATTTTTGCATCTTTACGCATGTATAAGTTGGTTTGTTTTCAATTTATACATGTATAAATTGTGTTTTTCAATGTATACACGTATAATTTGATATCTTAAAATTATACATGTATAAATTGGGGGGCGTTTCAAAAAACTATTTATACATTGTTTATACATCTTTTGTACATTCAAGAAAGCAGACAATGTTGAAACTATAGTGATGATTGCAATGAACTATTTATGCATGGGTTTTGTATATTTACACGTTACCTTTTGCTGCGACGGCGGCTTATTGAGCTGCCCTTCCAGAAAGCAGACAATGTTGAAGCTATCGTGATAAATGCATTGAATCATTAATACACAGTTTTAAATTTACACAGTACCTTTTGCTACGATGGCGGCTCATCGAGTGGAACCATAGCGTGATGGTTGCAAAGAAGTTCATGGAGAGTTTTTTGTTTAGCCACCTGAAAACCTATATGGGACAAGTACTTACTGGAAAGGATTTTTTCCAAGTATAAAGTCGTGGGGTAGTGTAGCTGCCCATTGGGCCGCCAGCCATATGCATGTACATGTGCCTCTGCTGGAGGCGGCCCATTGGGCCGCCAACCTCATGCCTCTGTGTAGCTAGTGGCGGCCCATTGGACCGCCCAGGTCACACCTTTGAAAAAAGTTGAACAAGTATAAATGCGCGACATCGAAGAAGTTAAGTTTTCTAAGTTGTTTCTAAGTAATTTTCAATGTTTTGGCGAGAAACTTTTACTAGATACTAATTTCCCTTAGTTTTGTAAATAAACTATAAGTTGCATAAACTATCTTAAGAACTTACAGAACTTGTCGAACTTAAACGTAGTTTTCAAGGGAGTTACAACTAGTTTAAAAATAGTTTATAAGTTCCATAACCAAAAACCATCCACCAAGTATGTGGGTATAGTCTGCAGACACGCGTCGCACACCTGGTTTGTCGATTGATTGTTTCGCGTGCAATAGAATACCCTATCCTGATGCCTCTTGCTCACCCAGACGTCCGAACATGTAGCATGTTGAGCCAACACTGCCAGCAAGGTCTTCTCCTGACAGCCTGGGTCCACCGCCGCTTCGTAACACGATCTTCCCGCGCACGTCAGGGGTCGATTGTGCTCATCCGCGCTAGGGCAGAGAAGTTGACTGTGTGGCCGCAGGCAGGTGCCAAACCCCAGGGATAGGGCAAAGGTGCTGGGCGAGTGGAACAGCTAGACCTCTATAGTTGCCAGAGCCCAGAACGAGAGACGCAAGGTGAATGAGGCCTTCCTTTTTGGTGAGAAGACTTCTGGCGTGGGCTGGTGGCACATGGCCTTTGGTCGCGTGGTGGCCGCAAAGCTGACCGTTGACACAGAGGCATTGGCCCAGATGCTCAGCGACGAGCTGAAGGACGCAGAAGAGAAACCGGAAGAGGCTGCTGCTTCAGACAAGTGACCGTGCACCGCTGTGGCGGGTGAAAGGAAAGAGCGCCTGTCCGAAAGAACATTTCCGACAATTGCTGCTTCAAGTTCCTGTTTTCACAGCCCCATCTCCCACTATAGACCCATCTCTCGAGCACTTTTCGTCTTCCACACCACAAGGCGTTGCAAACATAGATTGTGTGCACAGCATCTTTCTGGTTTTTGCCAAGATCTAAGTTAAGGAAAGGAGGCCTGGCGCTGGCGCAATGAGCTCACACAGCGCTGCCAGGGGAAGCGAGCCGAATCCATTAATATGTTTTTTTGCAGGTGTGTTCAAACTACCACTCAGAAAAGGAGGGGATGTCATCCAAATCCAAAGCGATTGGTCAAATCAAAATGGATTCTGAGCCAGATTTGGGTCAGGCATCGGGGTTGGTTAACGTTTCCAAGCATTGTGGGTTTCGATTGGGCTCTTGGTGTTTCACTGATTACGAAAGCCAGCCTTCGTAGAAGGCGCTGGCGGAGTTGTGTTTGGCGAACCAAGTGAGTAGTTGGTGCCCGACTGTTTCGGGGCCGTGGCAAATTCTTCACTTTTTTGTGCGTTTTGATGTTCAAGTGTGTGTCGACGTGGACATGATGTTGATGCTACGTCAGACATGGGGTGGGTTGGGGTGGGGTGGGGCTGGGATGTTGACGTTCATGTACACTTGCAGA